GTTTTAACGTATTCTCATCTCTCCGTTAATCTCCGTATTCTCATCTCTTCGTTAACGGAACGTTTAACGGAACTTTTGTCTGAAATTTCATTACAATATATCTAAGTAAAGAAATGACAAAAACCTTATTTAAATTTTTAAAAATAAAACTAATACTAAAATAAAACATTTATTTTTAAAAATTTATTTTTTTAAAGAACTTTTTTATTAATGTAGTTAAAAAGAACCTTTTTACTGACGCTCCGTTAAGCTTAACGGAGAGATAAGAATACGGCCCCAGTATAGTTAAATAGTTTAAAAGAAACCGGAACAATTTTATAAAGAGTGACGAAACGATTTTATAAGAATGTCAGCAATATTGTTTTAACCACAAGCTGTAGAAGAGTCTTAGAAACAACTTTAGCAGCATTAATTTACTTTAGTAAAAATAAACTTTTACAGATACATTATTTGAAGCTTATGGAGAAAACCAGTATGTCAGACTTTATCAAAAAATTTTAATATGTCAAGAATTACAGCAGTTGTTTCACCGCTTCCATCTTGTTCAATTTAACGTTTTTTCGCTTAAACAAACGGTTAGCAAATTACCAATAAAAAAAAAAAATGATTGAAATTCGAAATTATTGATAAAGAGTGAGCTGTTGAACTCAAGATGAGACCATATCTGGACCATATCTGGACCATATTGCCTAGCTATAGAAGAGTTTAAGTGAAAAAAACTTTGGCAACGGAAGCTGACGTGACTAGGATGTCTAACAGTAGATTAAACTGTTTCTTCGGAATGACAGGAAGAAATAGAATTTTAAGAGAAGCCATTAGATTCAAAAATGAGTAAGTGAAAAAATTATTTTCAAATAATTTTGGAGATAAGTAACAAGATCAAATTATGAGAAATGGAAAGTTAAACTTTTTAAAAAATTGTTAGAAAAAAATCTGGAACTAAACTTCTGAGATAAAATGGAAAATGAATGTACCTTGACGCTAGACAAGGTACATTCAATTCAATTTCCATTTTATCTCAGAATAAATTTTAGAACTAGGTTCTATAATGGGATTAATCCGATTAGAACTAGGATCTTTAGTGGGTTAAGGCACTTTTTTTAAAAGGTTTTAACTAAATTCATGTTAAGGGGGAAAACCTCTCAAAAAAAAATTTTTTTTTCAATTTTTTTTTCTAGATATTTTAAAAGTAAATTTATTAAGAAATCAAATGGTAAAAACCTTATTCGAAAATCGCTATTTTTTATATTAATAAATGACACTTTTGTACAACCACCTGAGTTCAAAATTACCTAGCAACGCCCCTAGTTACAGAAAAACTGCGAATAAAACACATCTAGTATAGCTTTTTATCCGGTTTTTTTTTTTGCAGTTTAGTTTGAAATGCTTCCCATTATCTCTAAAGCCATACTTTAAAACCACATATTTGACTGATAGTGCTAAAATTAGTCATCTTTTTAAGCTTCTACACAATCAACTCAAGCTTTCTATATAATTAAAAAAAAAATGGACAAGTCTAAAACTGAATATAAAAGTGATAGAGTAAAATTTTCTACAAAACGTCTTCGAAAACGTAAATCTACCTTTTCTGGTTTAAGAAAGCAAGAAAAATGTGTAAATATTGGTGTAAATAATGTAAATAGTAATAATGAAAATATGGAAGACTCTGTAAATATTGAAAGTGAAAGTGTATTTAAAAGTGCATCAAAAAAAAAAGTAAAGCAACTAATGGTTCCAAGTGGAAACTCAAAATGTGTCAGTGGCTACAGGTTTATTGATTTAGAAAATCTTGCTTCCATTTTTGATAAACTTGGGTGTCTAGAATGTTTGCGACCATCACAGTTGTCGTTAAGCGAAAATAAAAAGTCTTGCAAAGGATATGCAACAAATTTATCATTAAATTGTGTTTGTGGTTTCAAGTTAGACTTTGACACATCAAAAAATGTAGCAGGGTTTGATATTAACAAAAGATTAGTGTATGCCATGAGAACACTTGGTCAAGGCCAAGCTGGTCTACATCGGTTTGCCACTCTTATGAATATCCCAAAAGGATTATGCAATAAAAGCTATAATGTTATTGTTCAAAAATTGGCAACTGCAGCACAAACTGTTGCTGTTGAAACTATGAATGAAGCTGTACAAGAACTCAGAGAAGGCAAATCTCTTAATGAGATCTTAGATATTGGAGTTTCTGTTGATGGAACATGGCAAAAAAGAGGATTTAATTCACACAATGGGGTGACGGCAGCATTATCAATTAAAAATGGGAAGGTTTTAGATGTTGAAGCATTATCTAGAAAGTGTAAAATATATGACAAAAATCAAGATGTTGGTAATTTAAAGCAGCAGCTAACAGCAAAAAAATCACATATTTGCAATAAAAACTATGAAGGATCAGCCGGTGGAATGGAAACAGTTAGGGTAATAAAGATATTTAATCGCTCTTTGCAAAAATTTAATTTACGATACACAGAATACTTGGGTGATGGTGATAGTAAAAGCTACACTTCTGTCAAAAACACATACAAGGGTATTGAAGTAATTAAACTAGATTGTATTGGACATTTTCAAAAGCGCATTGGATCTCGTTGTAGACAATTAAAAAAGCAAGTCAAGAGTTTAAATGGTAAAGGCGGTTTAACAAACGCTACAATTGATCGGTTGCAAAATTATTTTGGTATTTGCATTAGGCAAAATTGTGGCAACCTTGAAGGTATGAGATCTTCAGCTTTGGCTAGCTTATTTTATGTAGCATCTTCAAGCAAAAATAATTGGCATTACCCGCATTGTCCCACAGGAAAAGATAGTTGGTGTAAATACAATCGAGATAAAGCTAATGGAACCAAAGAGTATAAACCCGGACCAGGTCTTCCTATTGAAAAAGTACACAAATTAAAGCCCATTTATGTAGAACTAACATCAGATGCTTATTTAAATCGTTTGCTTCATGGAAGAACACAGAATCAAAATGAAAGTTTTAATGCAATGATATGGTCTAGAATACCTAAGTCAAAGTATGTTTCGCTTACGCAATTGAAATTTGGACTCTATGATGCTATTGGTGCCTTTAATATAGGATTAAAGTCTAGTATACTTATATTTGAAAGACTTAATATGATACCAGGGCAACATACCATTTCTGGATGCAATTACCTGAACCAGAAAAGAGTTATGATGTCAGAGTATAAAAATCAAGACACCATCAAAAAAAAAAGGAAGATTTTAAGAAGCCGCAAGCTTAAAAAGTTTGACAAAGTTGAACAGAAAGAAGGGAAATTGTATGGGGCTGGTGTTCATGATTAAAAAATACAATCAGTATGCTCTTTTTATATTATATTTTTTGTATCTTTGTTATTATATAATATTTTTCATCACAATTTCAACTTATTTGGCATTTTTCTCAGAACGCGCGTTTTTAATCTCCCGGCAGAAGTATCTTGAGAACTGCTTGACCGATTTTAATGAAATTTTCAGGGAGTATTCCTCTCATAAAGATGTATGCAATGAGCAGACAACTTTTTAAAAATGTTTTTTAAACTAAAGAAATTAAAAAAAACATCTATCATTTTTGTGCTTAAAATTTTTGCCAAAATTAAACAGGCCTACTACCTGACAGAAAAGTTATTTTCAAAAACTGTCTGCTTATTGCATAGATCTATCTTTTAACTATAAGTTAGAAAAAAATCAGCTCAAAGTATCATTCTAATTGACTGCAATCTTTGCCAGGGTGAAGAGAGTAGTTTGACATTTTCCCTTAGTAACCGCGTTGCCATGGCAACAGAGTGCCATTTTTTATGATAGCTCTTCTTAACATTTAGTATACTTTTATTTGGAACATGTAATAACTTTATTAATGCTTTACTTTAGAAAATAAGTTTTTGAGGGGTTTTCCCCCTTAACGCCGATGAGCGAAAGTGTTCTAAAGACTTCAAAATTGTGTTCTTAAAAGTTACTATTAAAGGTAGTAAAAAAGGTTTTGAAAATTAAATATAAAAAAAGAAAAGTTTCTTTAAATTTTATAAAACCTGAAGTAAAAAAAATTATAACATCTAAAGCTCTTGTTTGGACATACGCTGATAAAATCATGCTAATTTCAAATAAAAGAATTCGAATAATTTGTAAATCGCCTTAACTACATCGAGCATGTTATATTTTGATCAATGAAAATGTCTCCGCATCTTCTTTTTTTTATCTGCTTACCAAGGTGCTCTAAAAACTTTTTGCTCTAAAAAGCACCTTAAGTGAATCATAGAGCGCCATCTTAGAGCATTTAACTAAAAAGGTTGCGCTCCTTTCTTTATTGATGTTGCAAACTGTTGGCATTGAACCACGGACCTCTCGATTCAGAAGCAAGTTAAATTAAATGCTCAATTAAAGTATTTTTTTGAATTAATTAGCATTTATTGCAGATGCAGAAACTATTGATGTAGGAAGCGACGATTGAAAACAAAAAATTAATACAATTATTTGTATAAAAATGTATAAAAATAGTAACTATAAAAATTCAAAATTTGTATAAATTATTTTTAAAACTGTATCTATTATATCTCAAATCTAATCATAAAAACATAAAAACAATAAATTATTATAAAACTACGTAATCAATAGTAATAAAATAACATAATCAATCGTTTTAAAATTGCATAATCTAAAAATTATGGTAGACATATTCTGTAAATTATTATAAAATTGCATAATCTAAAAATTATTATAAACATAAACTATAAATTATTATAAAACTACATAATCTATAAATTATTACAAACATAGTCTGTAAATTATGACAAAATTACATAATCTATAAATTATTATTAAATTATTTCAGCATGATAAATAAATTACACGCTAAAACCAAAAATTAAACCTTGCAAGAATGTTTAATTTACATATAAAGTAATTGAACTTGAATATGAAAAAAAAAAGAAGGTTTTCCTGGATATTATTCGATATTAAAAATTGTTTTTAATGACATAACAATATTACACAAATAAAGTTAAAAAAACTTTAGAAAAAAAGCATCTCAAGATTATAAACAGGAATCTCGATGCAAACTAACAAGATGTAACCACAGACAAACGAAAATACAGATATCGCCACAAATGTATATGCCTGTTAGAAGAAGAAAAAAGTTATTAATTACTTCTCAAATAGTCGTAATTGATATGAGGACATTAATAAAATTTGACAAACATTGTAAATATGTTATATGTTGAAATAATAATTTTTTACGCGTCTTTGATAAATGATAATTTTAAATTTTTAGAATCGAAATTAGAATTCAAAAACGCATTTTTTAAAATACATTCTACATAATATTTGTATAAAAATGACTTTTTAAGTATGTTGATACACATAGAAAAAAACTGAAAATTATAATTCTTATTTTATTGTTTACATTATGATGAATTTAATAACCTAAACTGTGCATTTTGTGCACAATAGGAGACACAACATACCAACAGTGCAAATTCACTGTTTAGCTGTTTCAGTGAAGTATAAGCCTAATTCATTGATATTTTTTATTTAATAACTTTTATTTGATAAATTGTATAAGAAAATTACGCAGTCTTTTAATTATATCAAAATCAACTTTAGTATTTTCAGAAAAAACTTCATGATTTTTAAATGCTCTTTTGGCAATACTGCCATCATTGCTGCTGCCCAAGCTAGCCTTTATTATTTTTATAACCAGCATTTATTATTTCACGCATGAGCGGATTTTGTATCTGTACGTGCGTTAACCACTTTATTATCAAACATTGTAAGATCAATTCTAAAGCTCATTATAAAGGTCACCATTTCTCCTGTATAATATTGGACTTTATTTTCTATATTATAGATGGAAAGGTCTACAAAAGTAATAACTTTAAAGGTTTTCATTTTTTCTAAATACCGGCATCTCCTACCTTGAATTAAGACCTAAAAGTTATACTAAAAAGGCTTTCTTTATGCCTGAGTTCTATAACTTCTTTGGCTTGTTGTTCTATCAAAATCAATTTTTCCATATAAAATTCCAGATACTTTGTTATCTTTACCACATTCTGACATATCAATCATTTCAGATATTCTACTAACAGTGATTTAACATGTTTTAAAGAGTGTCCTTTGCAAAAGTCTCAGAAAAATGTATGTTTTTAGAATAGCATTTCGTTTTTCTTATTTAAATATTATGCAAGGTGGAAACTTTTATTTTTTTAAATGTTATTTAACTCCTTAAGGCCGAAAGTGCCACTACAGAGACTACAATATTATATTGTAGTCGAGGAGACTACAATATTACATAGTTAGAACACAGTGGAGGAGACTACAAAATTACATAGTTACAGCACTCTCTTAACTCTTTTTCTCTGAAAAACGAAAATGGAGAAAGAAGTTAAGTATGTCAGAGTGTCAAGAACTGAGTTTCTAATCATTTGATATTGTTTATCAAAGAGATCAGTGTTCAATTTGAATGCAAGAACTTCCTCTACATTCATATTTATGAGAAAGGTTTTATCTAAAATCTCTTCAACCTTTTTGATCTCATTATGGATCTCATTAAAATACTAGAGATTTTTTTTTTAGCAGCATTTGCACTTCTTGCAGAAGTTTAAAGTTAGAGAGCTTCATGATGTTCAGTCGCTTGTTACTTTTTCTTTAGCTTTGCTCTCCAAAACTCCCTATCGTTTATAAGGCCTTCTAAAACTAAATAGTTTTTTTTATTTGTTATAAAAATTCCTTGAAGCCAATAATATTCTTTTTCTATAAATATATCATAATTTCAGCCACATTTTTTTTTAGTTTTTTCTTCACCCTTGGAATAAATATCCTTTACTTTATATATATAAGTTTTCTTTGTTAATTTCTTCAGTTCTTTTTTTCGTTTAGTAAATCCTTCCATAGTCTTAATTTATCTTTTAATTCATATTTGGGATGTCTTTGGAATGTTATTGTTTTTAAGAATCATCAATGTAATAAAATCTTTAGTATATTAGAAACATTTTTTATTACTTTACTTTTTTACGTTACACTCTTTAGTACTTTGTTATTGCTTTATCAAACGTCACGCTAAGTTTATATATATATAGTCATAAAAAATTAAGTTCCATTAACAGTTGTTTTTTCTAATTTTAAGTATAAAATGCTCTGTTTTTGAAAAAAAATATATTTCTTAAATATTGAACACTCTTCAACAATCAAGAGTTTAGTATTTTTAATACTAAATCATACAACAAAATATATATATATATATATATATATATATATATATATATATATATATATATATATAAATATATATATATATATATATATAAATATATATATATATATATATATATATATATATATATATATATATATATATATATATATATACACACTTATGTAAATATATATAAACATATTTTAAATATATTATAGTAAACTTTGTTTTTTATTATTAATTAACTTATAATTATAGTAAGATTTGTTTATTATTAATTAACTTTAACTCTTACATAATTGAGAACTGTCATATCAAATGCAACTTGTAATGAAGCAAAGTATAAATTCATCACCATTGGATGAAAAAGATAGGCACCATAAGATAATCGTCCAAGTGGAATAAATGCACGCCAACTCATTATATCATTTACTAAACCTAATACATAAGTTAAATTTATATAAAAAACTGTTTACATTCATTAAACTAAAATTTGAGTTTATATAACAAACAGTTGTATTCACTTAATCTAAACACGAATTTTAATTGTTTATGCGACACAAAGGTTGCAAAAAGTGACCTACAGAGCTGTCCAGTTATGTAGATTGGGAGATGTGATAATAAGAACAGATTGTAGATGGTGTTGTTGAATAAAAAATATAAATCATAAGAAAATATAAAATGTATGGCAAGACTTTTGTAAAGTAGAAATACAAAGAATGAACGCTAAGGGGCCATGGGGAGAAACAACTAACGCTCTAGTCACTCTGTGTGTAGAACATATGCAACAAAGAACAAATATTTGATATACTGATTTTAGAGAATGTTGTTGTCTACAGGTGTGATGATGTAATGCATTAGTATGTTCCGTTTGGTCGCCTAATATGGTCTCGTTATGTTTTCGTTCACTTTCAAACCGGGTGAATAAAAAGCTAAACACACTAAGGGTTAATAGAAAGCTAAACTCACTTCTTGAGCTTATGGGCTAGCACATCAGAGCCAGACGTAAGACCTACAGAATGGATTTCAATTGATCGAATGCACACATTAGTCACCATAGGTCACAAGCCATCACTTTTAGCCAAAAGAGCTACAACCCCGTACTGGTGTGGAATGATGTGCTATGAAGTGAGATTTTAGATCCTAGCACATAGTCATCAAACACTGATCCAATGTGCATTGTGGAGCTTCCGAATGAACGTGTGCGTGATTGTCAGCGTAGTCATTAGGTTATTAAGCTCCGTAACCAAATCCAGCAGGACAGCCTAATATCTGTTTTGTCGTTGTGGGGTACATTTGAAGAAACTTGGGCTCACCAGTCACAAAGAATAATTTTTAATTGTTTAAACACAAAGATTGCAAAAAGTGACCAACTGAGCCGTCGAGTTTTGTAGACCTGAGAGATGTAATAATGGAATCAAATTGTAGATGATGCCACTTAGGTAAAAAAAAACATAAATTATGTAAAGTCTATTTAGTAGGAGAAATAAAACTTAACGACTCAGGAAGAGGGGGAACCATAACTCACATTCTAGTTAGCAAATGATAAGACAATGGTCTTATTATTTATAAACTTAAATTTGAGTTTATATAACAAACAGTTGTATTCATTTAATCTAAACATGAATTTACATAACTCTTGGTTGTATTTATATAACTCTTGGTTGTATTTGAACTAAACTAAAAAAAAAACTAAAGTAAACATAAAAACTTAAATATAAATTGTAAAAAAAATCTCAAGTATTGTTTGTATTAGCTATCTAAATATGAGTTAATTTTATATAACAAATTGGTAATAAACTGAACTGGTTGTAGAAATGCTAAGAAACTGAACTGGTTCTAGAAATCCTAATAAATTAAAGTGGTGGAATAAATGTTATAAACTCAATGTGTTATATGAAGTTTTTCATGAATGAAGTTATATGATGTTTTCAAAAAAGCAAATAATAAAAAAAAGATTAAATAGGAAATAACAAAATAAATAAAAAAAAACACTAAATAACCTCCATATCCTGTATGACAAGCAAAAATAACCCATGAAACTGCTAAAGCCCAAACAAATCTGAATGCAATGCCATAGGTATACACTTCAGCAGGACTCCATTTATGGTCAGTAACAGTAAAAGGCCCATATATAACAGCCATACCAGTCACAATGGCACAAAACCAACCCAAAATGTTGATAAACTAAAATTAAAAAATCAAAAATAAACTAATACAAATATATACAGACAAAAAAAACAAAAACACACTAACACTTGTTAATATTTGTTGTTATATGCTAATATATGCCAATATATGCAACTATTAACTATTAAAAAGAAAAACTCAAAACTATATTTGTAACAACATTAAAGCCAAAATTCAAAGCAGTAAGAAAGCAATCAATTGTTTTTGCTCAGTTGTCCTTTAAGTAAAACATCAAAAAACAAGTGAATATAGTTGTATTTGTTCATAACAAATTTTATTCAAAATAAAATGATAAAATAACTAATAAGAACAAACTTTATAAACTTAATCATTTGTTAAAGAAAAAAAAAATTAAGTTTAAATAATAAACTTTACCAGTAAATTTTTTCTATATTTTTAATTTTTTTTTATTTTTAATTACCCACAATTAGAAAAACTAGCTTAAACCTACAATTAGAAAAATTGTTTATTAGGTTATCATTATGTAAAAAGTATTATAGACTAAATACCTAGAAATTATTTTTTCACATTAGCTATGGGGAATGCAACTTTAGGTTAAAACAAATGTTTTTTCAGGGTTGCTTAATTTGATTTTTTTATATTTGGATTGGCTTTCTTAAGTTAAATAAGTTTTTTTTAGGGTTGTTTTGATTTAAATTTATTTTGGTTAAATTTTAAATCATTATTTAAATTACATAAAACTTTTAATTCAATTTTTGATTATAAAAGCTATAACTGATTATTCATCGATGTATATAATTTATTTATATTTTAATGTAATAGCTAGAAATAACTTATTTGAATTTAAAATAATATATCATATAATGCATTAGATAATATAATGATCAATTTTTACATTTATGCCAAGATTTTTTTATCAAAGGCTGTGATGTGCAAATGCAAGATAAAGGTAGCTTAAATGCAAGATAAAGGTAGCTTAAATAACTTAAAAACAAGACAAAACTTGAAAACTCTGAGTGATGTTAATGTTATTACATATGGATCTTCAGCTCATATACTCAAATTATATGCCCAAGATTTGATAATTTCAAACATCAAACTGTTAGCCCAAAATTTGATAATTTCAAACATCAAACTGTTAGCCCAAGATTTGATAATTTCAAACATCAAACTGTTAGCCCAAGATTTTCATCATTTTATCTTTTACATTAAAACATTAAAAATCTACTGAATAATAGGAATGCATTAGTTTTCCTATTTAAATATTTAAATAAGATAAGACTGGTATTGAAAAATTGGATTGAGTCTTCGACAAAAGAAATCATAATTTTTATGAACTCCTGGATTTTTTATCTTAGACATCATTTTATTTATTGCAAAAGTTAAAAAACTTTCTGTTGTTATTATACAAGATACAAATAAAGCAGTATAAACAATATGAAATATAAATACAATTTAGAAGTCTTAATTTAAATTATTATTTAAAGATATGGTAAACAAATGACCATAATAAAAAATTAGGTGATCATGAAAAATTAAAAAAACTTACATATTTATATTTTCCAGATAATGTATGTTTATTAATCAATAAATAACCAAGAATCAGCCCCACCAAATATGGAGAATAACGTGTATAAGGCTTCATATAAATATACTGCATATAATTCAACACCTTTCTATTTGAAATATTTAATGAAATTTTTTAAATGCTTGAAGAAATAACAAATTTTGTTTTTTTAAATGTAAAAGTTAAGAGATTGTACATACATATTTCCAAAGTCATTTACTCCTTGTAATACTAGAGGAGAAGCATCAAACTTTTTCATCAAAATTCCATTTATAATAAAGCATACAATTATTAATGAAATATTAACAATAAATGTTCCAACGAGCTTGCATCTTAAAATAATAGAAAAATAATAATAAAACATTAACAAATGAATTACTTTTTTATTTAATTAATGCTTTACTTGTACATAAACCATTCATTATTAACAGCTTACCTGTACATAAGCCAAAGAATTATCGGACTTAATACATAAAACTGCATATCATTTGCCAAATACCAACTATGTCCAGCACACTGCAACACATATTAAACAATGTCTTGTTATAAAATATATTTAAAATAAAAAAACTACATTAAAAAAACTTTTTTATTTAAATACCATTTTAGTTTGATCGGGATAAAAATTATTAATATAAAGCAGGTTAGTCCACCAATAAGATACACATGACTTAATTTGAGCTGTCTGTGATTCCATTGTATACCAAAATGGACCACTTGATAAAACAGGAAATATATATGCAAAGAAGAAAATCATATATGCATATGAAGGAGTTAATCTAAAAATCATATACACAAAGATAAGAACAATGTACGCATACAGAGTTTATATAAAAAGTCATTAAAAACAATGAAGAAAATCATACTTATTAAATTGTATTTAAATGAGTTAATTTAAAAAATTACAATGGATTTTAGTTTGCAGCAAATTGATTGATTAGTAGTTTGCAGCAAGTTGGTTAGTAGTTGTTAGCTTGTAATTTTGAGATTCTTGTGATTGGTTGGAAAACAATTAATAATCAGATTAGTTAGCTGAAATTTTAAAATAATAACTATTTTTTTAATTGTACATGATTATATAAACTATATATTTACGAGTTATACAATCAGTAGGCAAAATCAATAGATTTGCTTTATTGATTGTAGATAGTTGAATGAATGAGGCAAATGAATAAGGCAAAAAGCAAGCAGGTTACTCTTATCAGAATTGAGAACTGCTTTAATAATAAAAGAAAAGATTTGAATCCAATCTAACCTACTTTAATCTATTTGGACTTGATGATGAAAATATGATGATGATGAATGAGTCTGATGCTGAATAATTTAACTGAATCAATAAATTGATTTAGTCAAGACCAATAAGTATTCAAAAGAAAGTACAAAGAACCATACAGAGAAAATGTTTTTATTAAATTTAAAAAATCTTGTTAAATGCAGTTTGTTATTATTATTATTTATTTATTGTTATTATTGCTATTTATATAATTATTTTGGTCATTACTAAATACAGTAAAAGTTATTTAAAAAACCCAAGAAGAGAAAAAAGATGATTCGTTCAAGTTGAACTTAAAGATAAAAATGTACCATTTATTCAAGTAAAAAATGGTCATTGTAATACTCACGCCAACAATCAAACACAACACAAAAATTAACTTTTTAAAGAGAAAGATGAACCAAATAAAGCTACAAATACAACAATGAAAACATCTACGAATTCAAACAATTCATTAATACTTTCAAAATACGATGGTTTGTTTGGTGCAGTTGTTGCATGGTTAATAGTATGGTTTACTACTTGTTAAGCTTTGTACACCTTATGTTTTAAGAACATGTTAAGCCATAAGAATATGTTAAGCTATAAGAATATGTTAAGCCATAAGAATATGCTAAGCCAGAAGAATATGTTAAGCCATAAAGGTTTTACTATAAATGCTTATATTATACTTTTTAATTATATTAAGTTTTCAAACACGATTCAAAAAATTGTGAATGAATATGCAGAGTAAATATTCCAAAAAATCTTGGCTGAACTTAAAAGAAAAACAAATCAGAGTTAAGGTTTAGTATTACATTAGACAAGTGGAAATGTGAAAAAATGATTGTTATAAGAAAATACACAATATTTTGCACATTTTTTGGAATCTTGGTCTCGCTAGAGTTTACCAATCAAAGCCAGCTAATAATTTGTTGCATGAGAATTATAATGTTCTATCTTCTTCTTTTTTTATGTTAAAAGAATTAAAAAAGTAAAGTTTTAATTAATAATTAATAGTAATAAAAAACAATTTAAAAAATGATTAGATAATAATATATGTTTAATAGTGAAACATTAATAACATAAACAGTTATGCTTAATATAGAATTTAACGCTTCTGCTGTTATTTATTTGTGCATGTTTGACATGCTTGGCCTTATGATATTTCCATTCATAATTTTGACCATGTGAAAAGGTATTTTTAAATCTTTATCATAATCAGTTTATATCTGCTTAATCAATTTTAAGATCTATTTGATGCAATCATATTTTCATAAATAACCTTATGTTATTTTCAAATTAGTATTTTTATTAAATTTAATTCAAATTAGTCAAGTACCTTTTAAATTCAGTTTATTCAATTCATTTTAATAATAAAACAATTCAAGCCCTTTGTGAATTGTATTTAAAGTATATTAATCTGTGTATTTTATTATAAAAAACTCAAAGACAATGCTCTTTTCAAAGGTCAAACTTTTGATAAAGTTTTTCAAAAACCCTTGCTTCTTGTACAGTCAACTCTATGTTGCAATAATACAATAGTTATTTTTTAAAATTGGCGAACATTTATTACAAAACATGTCATTTAATAAATGCTACACAAACAGTGTTGTATTTAAAAACTTATCTATAAACAATTATTGTTTTACTATTAAACACCCTTTTTTATAAATAATTAAACAAAACAAATTTTGTTACTGGAAACCAATTGATGTTACTAAAAACCCAGTTGGTGATACTATAATCCAGGTTGTACAGATTTTCTGATTTTTAAAAATATCAATCACTAATAAAAATTACAGTTTATCTGTTTGCTTTTATAATATAACAAACAGGTCATTTGACTGTTTTTTTTTTAAAGTTGATAAACATGCATTTCAAGGTATATCATTAAATAAATATTACACAAATAAGGTTGTTTGTACTGAATTTAATGGTGCTGCCATCACTAATTTGTGTGTGGTTGCACAGAACTCAAGGCAGCCATTACACCCAAGTTAATAGCAAGAAAGAGTCACAATACTTTTTGTAAAAGAAAATGTGAACTAAAGTGTATGCAAATATCTAACTTATGTAAACTTTTTCGATTTAAAAAAAAAATAAAACATTTTAGAAGTTCGATATTTTTACTTTATAAAGTTTTACTTTTATCTAAAAATTGCATTGCGACAAAAACTTTTGAGTTTTGATTTATAGCCATTATTATCCGTTTTATAAAGTTATTCTGTTTTTTGTTTATTAAACAGTGTTGAAATTAGCAAATTAGTGCATCAGGTTAGTGTGGGCTTACAAAGTACAACGCGAGGGTTCAAATCCTCTTGTTTGCAGATAAATTTTTTAAAAATCTTTTCTAATTTTTTAACATACAAATTAAAATATTTGTAAAATTCCATTGATGTTATATACATAACATTGCTTTGGGTACTAATACCTGAACCGCTGATAATTAACTGTTTATTTAACAACTACTGAAGCGTTTAAAAAATTTTAAAGTTAATTATGTTGTAAATTATTTTTTTATTCATAACTTTAAAAGGTAGACAATATGTATATTTCTTAAACACTTACTAAAAAATATTGAAGTAAGGACTAAATATAGAAATGGTTGGTGTAGAATAGAGTTACCAACACCAGTATTTTACTGGTCCATACAGCTAATATAATATGATTAGCAACTTACTGCTGCTGAAGATCATTCGTGAGTGTTTGCACATAAAGTTTAAAAAAAAACAAGATTTAAACCTCCTACGTGGCGACATTAAACTACTTTATAAGCAGAAAGAAGGGCTTGAAATGCATGTTTTTAATGTATAAACGAAAACATTTTATTAAAAAGACATTATGTTAAGATAAAAAAAAAATTAATTACTGAATATCACAGTAAAAAGCTTTAGTTAACAGCATAAAAAGACTACATATATTAGTATATAGATAATAGGTTTTATATAAAGATAACTAGATGGACAACTTTTGCTTTCTGTTCAGTTTATTCTGTTTATCTAATTTATTTACAGATATTCATGTTATTTTTAAATTATCTTTATTTCAAAATCTTTTTTTAGGACATTTAAAAACATCTCAGAATAATGTCTAGTAATACATTACTTTAATCCTTTTTATAAATATTTGTATTGAATATTGAAAATGCATTAAACCACCTGTTAAATTTTGAAGAAATTGATAATAATGTTTTCATAAAAGTTACACTCTTTTTTTTAATATTTATGTATTGTTGTTCTAAGTAATTGTATGTAAGTATATATACATATATATATATATATATATATATATATATATATATATATATATATATATATGCATATATATACACACACATATATATACACACACATATATATATATATATATATATATATATATATATATATATATATATATATATATATATATATATATATATATATATATATATATATATATATATATACACACACATATATATATATATATGTATATATATATATATATATATATATATATATATATATATATATATATATACACACACACATATATATACATATATATATATAAATATATATATATATATATATATATATATATATACATATATATATATATATATATATATATATATATATATATATATATATATATATATATATATATATATATATATATATATATATATATATATATATATATATATATATATATATATACTTATAAATATATTTATAAATATTAATCATCTTCACTTCCAACAAGACTGCAAGCAAACACTATTAGAGTTGGAAGTTACTGGAAGAGCAAATCATTGAGTACGTTACTGTTCATAAATATATTAAGTTGAGTTTATAATTGTTCATAAATATAGGAAGATCAAAATTGGTGCGATAACGATTTGCTGAAAAAATTGATTTTTATCTGAGATAAAGTTCAGCAGCCACTGAGGGTCCTATGTTGCAGCAGAAGTGAGATCCTTTTCAAGCTCAAATGTCTTCTCAAAGCAATTAGAGAGTGTTGGCTTCTTATGAAGACAAGAATAAATGGTAGTATCATCAGCAATGCAGTAGTGGTGTAGTGGTAGAGCGCTCGCTTCATAAACGAGTGGTTCCGGGTTCGATCCCCACCACGCCCCTGGTAGTACCGCGCTCAACTTGTTTCTCCGCGCAGCGGCCTTGTTCGTCAAGGTTCGTGTTTCGGAGTTATAGAGTTGAGAGAGGGTTATAGCCACAAAATAAGTAGCCTTCTAGCCTGTAGTGGCCTTCTCGGCCTTGAGGAGGTGAATAAAAAAAAATTAAAAAATATATATATACAGTTATATCATATATGTATAGTTTTATACTTATCATTATTACATGTATAGTAATATACTTATCATTATTATATGTATAGTATATGTATGTGTGTGCATATATATATATATATATATATATATATATATATATATATATATATATATATATATATATATATATTTATATATATATATATGAGTTTTTATAATTATTAAACTTTACGATTTGCAGATGTAGTAAA